TAAGCAAAAAGAAAAAAGCCAGAAGTGGTGCTGTGGCTCAAGTGGTAGAGCGCTAGCCTTGAGCTGAAGAGCTGAGGGACAGCGCCCAGGCCCAGAGTTCAGGCCCCATGACCGGACCCCAAAATAAAATTTTTGATCTTTGATTGATTGTGTCTGCAGATAAAGAGTTCTTGGGTACAGAATGTTCTTTTGCATTCCTTGTTCTGTAATTCCATCATCTAAATGTCCATCTATTCTCCTCTGGAAGATTGTACGCTCCTTGCAGGTAGACATTGTCAGCAATGACGAGAAAGATAGCAAGTCTGTCAAGTGACTGGTACTTCTATCTGCCAAACCCGAAGCAATGTGATTTACATAATGATCTCATTCCACAATGACAGTAAACCTGTGTTATCCCACTTTACCAATGACTGAAACTGAAGCTCCAAGAGAGACTGAGTCACTTGTTCAAGGTCACCTAGCTGGCAAACTGTAGAACAGGAATTGTTCTCATTTTCTGTTGGACTGTAAAGCCTGGGCTTTTCACTCTGCACAAATTCTTTGTCATTGTTTTGCTGCTTGACTCAAAATTCCTTGAATGTTCTTCTGGGGGCATTCACAGATCCTTGTTTCTTGGTGGTAGACAAGCCTTCTGCTAGCTGATAATATACTCTCTGGCTGACATGCTCAGGGCTTGGCTTCCTCGATCCCAGAGGGTGGGCTGAGATGAGAACACTCAAAACTCCGTATGACTTCCCACCCCCTGCATTCTTGCTGCTGTGCATTCTTTACTACTATATAACTTCTCTCTCCTGCTTATTTCTTAGGAGACTAGTGGCTAGGAGATTCTGACTAGATAATATGGACTATCCAGGGCTGCCGGTCTGGTATGTCCTGATAGAGTTGGTAAGAAAATGGAGCCATAGATCAGTGAAAGTCTCTGTCTAGAGAGAACCCAGAGAGAAGACAGGACCCCTCCCACTTCCCCCACCCCCATTCCATACCCATTCATACAGCCCATCTGGACCCTTCCCCTCTATAGCCTCCTTCCCCTTTCCCCAATCAGAATCCTTATTTACGGGTCCAAGCTCTTGGGATAAGCTCCACCCCTCTCCCAGCATCCTAAAGTTTGGGGGTTGCATACAAGTCAGAGATTTCCTAGTTGAGGGCGTCTGGAGGCCCTTCTGAGGGTAGCTTGTCCTGGAAGGATAGGAGAAAGGTGGTAGCAGTTGCTGCCTCCAAGGACATCTGTGTAGCTCCCTGGGGGACCCTCTGCCCTCCCCCGCCCCCTCAGCCCAGGCTAGCAGGGACCAGGCTTGCTTATTATCACCTGACGCTGAGCAGCCACTGATCCCATTGGTGGAGCCAGATTCTGTCTGGCTCTCCCGTTCTTTCTCGCCTTCCCTGCCTCTCTCTCCTCCACGCTGCTTTGAATTTGCTCTTGCCTCTCTTCTCGTGTGTGCTTGCTCGCTCAGCTGGGAACCTCGTCTCACTGGGGGCGGCAGTGGTCGCTGCCGAGTCAGATAAGAGCTGCCTGCTAGGCATGGAAACAGCTTCCTTGGCAGTCTGGAGAAGAAGAAACGCTTGCTGCTGCCTGTAACCCAGGAGTCCGGCTGCTGTCCCCTGCCTGGGGAGCTCATCCACAGAGAGCTCTCTCTCTTTCCTTCCTGCCAGGATTCCCTCTGCAGAGCCCAGTAAAGCCAGGTGAGTACCCTTCTTCCTAGACCATCCTGCTGTCTAGCCTGAGAGGCTGTGACCTGGGGACGCCGGGGTCCTGCCACTGTCTGGGGACCCACTTGGGTTGTCAGGCCTGACGACCTTGCTCCCTTTCCCCTAGGTCCTTGGCAAAGAGCTTAACAGCTGGATCTGGTCTCCGGGGCGACACAGTTAGTTACCCCGTGACCATTCTGCTGCAGTCAGCGATGCCAACAGGGACAGAGGGTGGGGGAGCGATCCCTCTGGCACGCTCATGGCTTTCTGCATGGGTACGGGGAAGGAGCCCCATGTGAACAACGTATGTGCATACTTGCCAGAAAGCTGGAGACTTACTTGCGTAGCTAGGTCTGTCGGCATGCAGTGATGCTCTGTAAGGGATTTGACCAGCTTTTGGCATGTCTAGGAACATAGCTTTCTTGCACGCGTGAGGTACATGTGTATTTGGGGGGGCATCGCTTATCTGAGTAGCCTGTGGGCATATGTGGGCGGGGACTCTGTGAGGCAGTATATTTAGGGGGTGGACATGTCACCTGTCATGTGGGTAGGAGTGGATGTGGAGGGAGGGTAGCAACCAGATGGTTTCTATGTGGGGTGGTACAACTCTGGGGCAAGATGGGGAGGGTGGGTGGGAAGTGTGGGCAGTTACCAGAGTCTGGGGCAGACCTGCTTAGGTGCACAAACCTGTTGGCATGTGAAGGATCAGGCTGGCAGAGTTTGGCCAGAGACAAACATGTTTTCAAAGTCTGAGTCTTTGAGTCTGGAGAGGACTCCAGAGAGAATAGCAGAGAGCCCAGGCGGGGGCTGGTGTGTGCACGGATGTGCATATGTGCGCAGTCAGGCCTGTGCTATGGCTGGCATGCCTCCTTGAGGATGTGGCACACATACGTGTTGCTGCCTGCGGCTTCCTCTTTTTCTCCAAATATGGCTCGTGAGGAGGGGCACATGCGTGTGGGTGGGCGTGAGACCGTGGACATGAACATGTGTGGGTCTGGCATGAAGGCGACAGCTTGCAGAGGGAAAACTGGGGGACATTCTTAGACTGTGCGAGGTGGCAGAAGCTTCCCCCCTGGCGCCCCCCGCCCCCCGTGCGTAGGTGTCTGGGAGTGAGGATGTCTGAGGGGGCGTGCACAGGAGTGGGTACCCCTCCCATGTGCATGCCTGTGTGCCTGCCTGTGTTGCCCTAGGTGCATTCACACGGCAGTGTGGGCGTTTCCAGGGTGTTGCCTCAACCTGTCCCTCACAGCCTGCCCTTCCCAGGCATCTGGGCGTTGAGAGGCAAGGCCCATGCCCACCCTGATCCACCCTGGCTGGCTCTCTCTCCCTGTCATTCTCCCAGGTGAAGGTGGGTAGTTATCTTGGGTCTCCAAGAACTGGAGAGGGGAAAGGATACACAGCCACCCTGAGCCTAGAGCCCTCTGCCCCCCACGCCTACAGCTGCTGGACCTCTAGGAAGACTCTCAGGAAAGGAGGTATCGAGGCAGAGACAGGAGGCATCCATAGGGCAGATCTCACGTGGGTGGAGGCTGTTCAGGGCTTCTCAGTCAGGTGGGAGTGTGTCCGTGTTCATGTATATGGGAACGTCTGTGTGTGTGTGTGTGTGTGCATGTGAGGGGCACAGATATGTCCCCCTTGGAACTTCTTGTCAGGATCTAGCGTGATGGTAGCTCCCCACTGTTTCAACACCTGTTCCCCGGATTACAAAGCAATTTTGAGGGTGGACCCATTAGCACCCCTACTTTTACTTACCATAGGATACTCTGTGCATGGAGCACTGGCACTTTAGGGTGGGAGGCCAAGATGAAACAGGACCCGAAGGACGGCGGGGGCAGGTAAGGGCCATCACTCAGAGCTTTCCCTGGTACCTGCCACCCAGTCAGCCCACAGGTTCATTTAGAAGTGCTAGGTTTTAGAGCAGGCTTAATTGACAGGGAAGTGTGGGCTGGATCTTCTAGAAGCTATAAATAAAGTACCTGCTCTTCTCAGGCACACGTTACCCTTAGCTCCTGGGAAAGAAGAGGAGAGGTAAAGAGAAGAGAGGAGAGAAGGAGGTAGCATGAAGTATGCTGGGTGTTGGGCTAGGGGAAGGAAAGCAAGAGACTGAAGCTAAAGGCCCGGGGAAAGTGCACCCACGGTTATGATCTCCCCACCCACGTCCCCACTGGTTCCGTGGAGCTCAGGCGAGCCAGGCTATAGGTAAGCACAAGCGAGAAAGATGGCAGAACATAGTCCTTTCACACCGGAAGGGCCCCACATGCCAAAGCAGAACCAAAGGAGCAGGAGAGGGAAGAGAGGGAAAACACAATTGCTTAAAGGAAGAAAATTCACACCAGAAACATATATATCCCATGTATGGCCACATGCATACACAGAGATATACACATACACATACACATACTCTGATGCAGCAACCTTAGCTCGGTGGGAAAGATCTTGACCTCAAGAGTATGAACCATTTGCTGGTTGTATGGCCTCGGCCACGTTAGCATCCCTAGTCTCAGCTACCTATCTGTAAAATGGGGAGAATGACAGTAGCCAACTATAGTGAGGCTCTTTGGGAAATAACGTCAGTGGGATTACTAGAACATGCCACCAATATCAAAACTAGTTATATAAGAATTGAGTTAGAGGATCAGCAAAAGAAGACAGAGTGGCTGTCCAAAAAGTTAGGGGTCCGCAGAGCTTGAAGACGGCTGTAGGCCAATGACACCCCTCCCACTGTGAATGCATTCACTGGCACCTAATCTGGCACTTGTCCTCTCAGCCCTCACTGGATCACCCTTGGGAGGAGAGAGACCTGAGAACCAGGGTCTTGGCACCTGTGGACTTTGAGCTACACTGCCTGCCACCTCCTCCCTGCATGTGCCTCAGCCCCTCCGCAGGTGCTTCCTGCCAGGCCTCCACCTCCCACCCAGACCCTCCCCCCCCCCCCACCCTTTCTCTTTTCACGCCTGCTGGCTGAGGGCCCCTCCCTCCTCAGCACCATCTGCTGCAAATCTGTCCCTGCCCAACGTTCACAGCATACCCACTGCCTTTGCCACCTGTCAGGTGCCATCTGCTACGTGGACCCTCCAAGGAGAGTGCAGAGTCCCATAGGAAAGACCCCACCCTACCTCCCGCCCTTCCCCTCCCATCTACCTGCTGTCTTTTCCAATTTAACAGGCAGGTGCATTTGATGGGGGTGCCGAAGGTTCTAGCTCAAAAGGCATGCTGGGAGCAGCACATTCCAGAAAGTTCTGCGGTGGGAGGGAGGCGCTGATCCCTTCCTCTGACTCTCAGTCCCCACAGGAGCCAAACCAGAGGGGAGCATGGAGCTACTGTCCACCCCCCACAGCATTGAGATCAACAACATCACTTGCGATTCCTTCCGCATCTCCTGGGCCATGGAGGACAGTGACCTGGAGAGAGTCACCCACTACTTCATTGACCTCAACAAGAAGGAGAACAAGAATTCCAACAAGTTCAAGCACCGGGTAAGGAAGAGCGCGCCTGGCGCCTGTCCCCAGCTGCTGTGCCAGGGGGAGGCAGGATGATGAACCACTTGGGAGAAGTTGGGGCCGATTCGGGGGGCTGGTTTTCTCATTGAGTCATCTTAGGAAAATGACTTCTCTGAGCCTGAGCTTCTTTCTGGTAAAAAGGAAATAATCACACCTAGCCTTGTGGGCTTGTTGGGAGGATTTCATGAGTAATGTGTGTGTGGTGCTTAGCATGATGCCTAGCACAGTGCGAATGCTTTTATAAGCATCAGGACTGGGACTTCTGACAGGGGCAGAGTGCCTGGTAGGTGAGATGGGGAAGATGCTATCACTCCTAGGGGTGATGTCGCAAGTTCTAACAGGCACAGAACGTAGCAGCCTTGCCGACCAGATGAGCAGCATGGTCCTCGGACAGGGGTGAGACCTTTTGTGCTGGATACTCGATGTTCTTGTCATTCTGTGTGCCCCTTACCTGCCTACTGGTCTAGAAAAGGAATGTGAGAGGGTCCTCACTGGTGTGTCTTTTCCCTGGGTTACCAGCTGGTATGGGAGCAGGTGGGAGAGGGCCTGGAATCTTCTCCAGCTGGTAGTGAGGTAGGGAGAAGCTGGCTCCCAGGACGCAGGCCTGGTGTGGGCTATTCACCCTCGCTCCTCCATCTCTCTGGATCTGGCTTCTCCTGATCCGGGTGTCTTTTGGCAGGCCAGTTGCCACGGTGATGTGAATGTTCAGCACCACCCCCTGAGTCCTCCCCCCCAAAGAATAAGGCATATTTTTCTTTCCTCCCTGGCTTCTCAGCATTTGCTGTTGCCATGGAGACGGCACTGCAGTGTGCAGAGCTCTCGAAGTTTCCCTCAAAAAATGAAGGTCTGACTACTTTCAACTTTGGTGGCCTCCTCTCAAGTGGCTTTCCCCCTCTGTTCCTAAGAGAATAGGGTGGAAAGCTGGAGAGAGCCGGTGGTGTGGCTGTCCCAAACCACTTCTTGCTTCCGTAGGCATATGGTGGCCAAGAGACAGACCTATTGGGTCCCCGAGACTCTCTTCCTCCTTGGAAAGAAGAGGGGACCGTATGAGGAGTCAGGATTCTGGGAGAACACTGGTTGGGGTAACCTCCAGATTGACTCTTGGCTCTTGGTCTGTACCCCGTTTCCCAGGATGTCCCTACCAAGCTTGTGGCCAAGGCAGTGCCACTACCCATGACGGTGAGAGGTCATTGGTTCCTGAGCCCCCGTACAGAATACAGTGTGGCTGTGCAGACGGCGGTGAAGCAGAGCGACGGCGAGTACCTGGTCTCGGGCTGGAGCGAGACAGTGGAGTTCTGCACTGGGGGTGAGGCCCTTCAGTACATTGCTGTTCTGCTTGCTTGGTACATGTGGCTCAGTTAGACCATGAAGGGCTCCATCTTTTGTTGTTGTTGTTGTTGGTGGTGGTGGTGGTGGTCATAGGGCCTGAACTCTGGACCTGGGTTCTTCAGCTCAAGTCTAGCACTCTACCACTTAAGCCACAGCGCCACTTCCAGCTTTTTCTGTTCATGTGGTGCTGAGGAATCGAACCCAGGGCCTCATGCATGAGGGGCAAACACTCTACCACTGAGCCACCTTCCTAGCCCCAAGGGCGCCATCTTAACCCAGCAAACACTCATGAACACCTAAGCATATTGTTGAGGCCAGAGGGAGGCAGACACACCGGCCACGACACTCCCCACCCTCAGAAAGAGCTCTTTTTTCTAACAAAAGATAGATCAGATTCTATACATTGGCAATACCATCTCCAAAAAGGGATGAACTTACTTTTCTGGCTTGAGCCAAACATATTTTAAAAACATGTGGCAAAACAAAACAGACGTAAGATAAAAATCTATCCTTGGCCAGGTGCAAGTAGTTCATGCCTATAATCTTAGCAACTCTGTAGGCTAAGATTTGAGGATCATGGTTCAAAGCCAGCACAGGCAGGTAAGTAAGTCTGTGAGACTCTTAGCTCTAATTAACCACAGTAAAGCCAGAAGTGGAGTTGTGGCTCAAGTGATAAAATGCTAGCCTTGAGCAAAAAAACAAAACAAAACAAAAAACAAAACACCTGAGGCATAACGCTCAGGTCTTGAGTTCAAGTACAAAACAACAAACCAACCATAACTACTTTTTTTCTTCTTTTTTGTCTAGGGGCTGTCCCTTAGCTTTTATGCACAAAGATGGTGCTTAACCACTTAAGCCACAGCTTAAGCTTCGAGCTTTCTGTGTGTGTGTGTGTGTGTGTGTGTGGTTAATTGGAGATAAGAATCTCAGGGACTGGGGGCTGGGAAGGTGGCTCAGTGGTAGAGCGCTTGCCTTGCATTCACGAGGCCCTGGGTTCGATTCCTCAGCACCACATAAGCAAAAAGAAAAAAGCGGGAAGTGGCACTGTAGCTCAAGTGGTAGAGCTCTAGCCTTGAGCTGAAGAGCTGAGGGACAGTGCCCAGGCCCAGAGTTCAGGCCCCACAACCGGACCCCCCCCCCCACCAAAAAAAAAAAAAAAAGAATCTCAGGAAGATGGGTAGGGGATGGCTCTAAGCCAAGATCCTCAATCTCACCCTCCTGAGTAGCTAAGGTGACAAGTGTGGCCACTAGCATCCTGCAGCTCTTAACTACTTCTAGGCAAATGGTGCAGTAGTGTTCAATGAATTTACATTATTATGCAACTAATTTCCATGGCTTTTCCATCTTGCAAAACCGAAACTCTATGCTCATTAAACAACCACTCCCCTTTTCCCCTCCCCCAAGCCCAGGCAACCGCATCCTACTTTCTGTCTAGGATTTAGACTACTGTAGGTGCCTTGCCTAAGTGGAATTATCCAGCATTTGGCCTTTTTGTGACTGGCTTATTTCTTTTAGCATAATATCTCAAGGTGCATGAGTTACTGTAATCTGTGCCAGAATTTCTTTCCATAGTATACAGAGACCACATTTTTTTTTCTCAGTGGTCAGTGGTCTCTTTAAAAGCATTTTTTATTGTTATCATAAAGGTGATCTACAAAGAGGTTATGGTTACACGTCAGGTAAAGACTCTATTTCTTTTTGGACAGTGTCATCTCTGCCCTTGTTCTCTCCCATCCCCACCCACAAGTTATATAGTTCATTTTCAACATAGTGTCTAGTGAGACTCACAGCTGCGTTTGTTCACTCTTTGTCCTTCCATTTCTGTGCCCCCTGTCAGCGGTCCCTTTTTGGAATGGCTGTACCTCGCTAGTCCTGAGTCTCTCCTTAGCCTGGCAAAATGGCCCCCACTGGATGGCCTTGCAAGCTCTTTCTGCGGAGCCTAGCTTACAGATTTCAGCGCCACCCAACACCAGCCTTGTGTGTGCTTCCTCACAGATGACCCAGGATCTGCCCCGTAACTTTCCTTCCCTTTTGGCATCCATGTGAGAACTGCTCCAGATTGCTCTCTGTCCCAACTAAGGGACAGGGAACATTCTCTGCCCTCAGGCATCTGAGGCGGCTGACTCCCTCTTCTGCCAAGCTCTATGCCCAAATCTCCTTGAGCTGCCACGAATCTGACTTTCGGGAGATATTCCTGGCCCTTGTGAGAGAGGCTTCCTGTTTTGCCCCAAGAACCGCATAAGCAGTGAGCATTTAAGTCTAACTGGGGAGCTGGAGATGGCTGCAGTCCAGTCTGTGCTCCTCTTGCCAAATCGAGTGCCCAATCAGGGACGCATCTACAATGAGCAAAGGGCACCCTTGCCTAATTTTACCAAGAGGCTGTCGAATCTAGCAGCAGGGGGCCAATTTTCCCATCTTGGTGGCAACCCTTCCCTGTTTGTCCTGAAAGGCCCAAGCAGAGCATCCAGCACTGCAGGCCTACATCCACTTAAACATTCACATGCTTTGTGGGCCCAGGCTCTGTTCTCCACAAGACTACCTCTGTAATTATAACTGGCTTTCATGCAGTGTGTGTGTGTGTGGGGGGGGGACCTGCTGCATTTGAGACACCCTCCCCGAAGGACCTTGCTTTCTCCCCATCCCCCACTTCAAGTCCTTCTTTTGCCTACTTAGCCTCTTTCCACAGGACAATGGCATGGGATGATAGCCCTCTGGATTCAGGGAGCTCTGAACCTCTAACAATGAGGACACAGAGGTGATGAGGACAGACAGCATGAAACTCTCCATGTTGCCAGCCAGTGCCAGCTGGCTTGTGCTCATCTGAGCCCAAGCTGTTGTAGGAGCTAGCTCTTATCCCCCTCCTTGACTGCTTCCGAGGACAGAGGTTGACCAGCAAGGCACAGTGGGGGTGACGGGGGGTGGGGGGGAGGGGTGGTGACCCTGCAGCTGGTCTTGGCTCACCTCGTCCTCCCGGACTCTTGCAGATTATGCTAAGGAGCACCTGGCCCAGCTGCAGGAGAAAGCTGAGCAGATCGCTGGACGAATGCTGCGCTTCTCCGTTTTCTACCGCAACCATCACAAGGAGTACTTCCAGCATGCCAGGTATGGCAACGCAGGCTTCCAGGCTGCTCCTGTCTCCCGCAGCTCTCCCTCTCCCTGCCCTGGCTGTCTGAAGTCACCACTGCTGTGGACTGGACCCTCTCCCCTGGACTCCCTCTGCCCTCACGGCACGGTTGATTCAGAAGGGACTGATACTCTGGGATTGGGCTCAGGAAAGGTGGGTGCTCTGGAACAGGATCACCTGGCCGAGCACTATGCTGGCAAGCCCAGGTGATTGAGGTCTTTGCTTGATCTCCCTCTGGGATAGTTCCTTCACTGGTGTCAGCTGTCTTTTCATTTCAGGACCAGGAGCACAGGGGAATTAGTAAGGAGAAGGCAAAATAAGAGCTTCAGGGTTCCGGGAATGTTGGGGAATCACTGTTTTCCAAGTTGGGGGCTGAGGAGCCCGAAAGCATCATGGGGAATCCTTTAGGGAACTGCTGAGGTACTGGTGGAGGGGCTTGGTGGGTCCTACCTTGATGGTCCCACCAGAGCAGCCTCAGTCTTAGTTACCTGTGTATGATTTCTGTGGGGTGGGGGAGGGGAAGAGTTTCTTCAGTGTTTGAAAATTAAGCGTCCTATCCCGCACCCTGAGCCTGCAGATGAGCAGCCTGAGGTCACTGTGAGCCTTAGTTGATCAGCTGAGCCAGCAAGTTTGTCATCACTCAGGCAGCCAGGATCAAGCAACAGTGAGGCGGGGCTAGGGCTGGCCCGCTCACAACCATGCCGGCCCACACTGCTTCAAATCTATGTCCTTCTAAGCCCAGCCAAGGCAAGCTGCCTTTATCATCATTATAGGTGAGAATCTGGACCCCACGCCCCAGGGCAGTAAGGACCTTAAGGATCTTTAGTATTTTTGTAAGAAAAACACAGGCAATGGTCTTGTTTGAGCTCCCTGATCAGTCAGAAAGAGACAGAACACCTACGTGGGCCAGCTCCCTACTGGATAGGAAGATGATGGCACAGGCTTAGAGTCTGGTCAGGGCTACAGTAGGAGAAGATTTCATGTCTGTTTGTAACTTGTGGAGACAGTGGGATGGTGGGGGGTGCTAGGAGTCCAACCAGTACACTCTTCCCAACCACACAGCAGCCAAGCCCCAGCCGAGCTAATTCGTGCCATTTCCCCCACCCGCTTCCTTTTGGCATTTCTTCCTGGCAAGCAGGACCCACTGTGGGAACATGCTTCAGCCCTACCTGAAGGACAACAGTGGCAGCCACGGCTCCCCCACCAGCGGCATGCTCCACGGTGTGTTCTTCAGCTGCAACACCGAGTTCAACACTGGCCAGCCCCCCCAGGACTCCCCCTATGGCCGCTGGCGCTTCCAGATCCCCGCCCAGCGCCTCTTCAACCCCAGCACCAACCTCTACTTTGCAGACTTCTACTGTATGTACACCGCCTACCACTATGCCATCCTGGTTCTGGCACCCAAGGGTTCCTTGGGGGACCGCTTCTGCCGTGACCGCCTGCCCCTCCTGGACATTGCCTGCAACAAGTTCCTGACCTGCAGTGTGGAGGATGGGGAGCTAGTCTTCCGCCATGCCCAGGACCTCATCCTGGAGATAATCTACACCGAGCCGGTCGACCTGTCCCTGGGCACCCTGGGGGAGATCAGTGGGCATCAGCTCATGAGCCTGTCCACTGCCGATGCCAAGAAAGACCCCAGCTGCAAGACCTGCAATATCAGTGTGGGCCGCTAGGGACTCCTGGGGAGCTGGGGAGCTAGGGAGAGATGAGAGGGTAGAGATGGGTGGCTTAGGTTCAGGGAGCTGGCTTTCTCTCCCCTGCCCCCTGCTCTCCACTCTGTCTGTCCACCCCTCTCCCTTTGGCAATAGAGGCAACAGATGGCGGTCCTCTTTATTAGGGTGGCCCAATCCAGGCCCCGTGGACTTGGGAGGGCTTTCCAGCCTCAGTAGGTTGGCAGGTGGGCTGCATTTCCAGAGAATTCTCCCTTCCTCCGGTTTCCCTCTCCCTTTCATGACTCATCCGGGCCTCCACCTCCCAGAATCCTACCCACCTCCCGGGCTCTCCCAAGAAGCCTCTCTGGGCCAAAGCCCACATGTAGCCTGGCTGTTTCCATGGAGACAGAGAGCTGTGGGGCATCTCTTCCTTAGCCCCACCTACCCCACTCAGGGCCACCCCAGGAAGCCCCCTCCCTGCTGAGTTGGGCCTGGGGGTTTCCCACTCCAGGCCAGGACCCTCCCTCTATAAATAGTCACCCGCACTGCTCTCACACCCTGGCTGCTCCTTACCCCAGAGCCTGTGCCCTGCAGGGGAGAGCTATCCCTTCCCCCCTCCCTCCGTTAGCCCCACTGATGTCTGCCCGCTGATGTCGAGAAAGAGGCCCTCTTTCGTCTTTCTGGCCTTGGGAGCCTGTGGGTTCTTGGAGTTTTCCTGGTCATCTATCTGGAGATAATCATTCCCCAGCAAACCTTCCTTGCTCAGATTGTGTGGGAGCTGGAGCAGCAGCCTTGGGGGGCCTGGAACAGCAGTCGCTGGGGTCGAGGAGGGGGCGGGACACCCCTGAGACCCCTTCCTCAGCAGGAATGAGCTGCCTCATGCCTTGATGGGGCCTGACTTAGAACTAGGGGACAGAGGGTTACTCGGGGAACGCTAGTACCCCACCTGCCACTGTGCTGACTGCTCCATGACCCTGTGTGAGCTGCACTGTGGGCGCTCTGCTTCTGGCACCTTGGCCAGCACACTGGCCCTCTCTGCTCTCGTGACCACTGCCTGGGGAGTTCTTGATAAAGCCCTCCCTCGGTTCCCTGTGTTTTTATCTTGTTCCTACTGTCATACGGGTCATGGGGGTGGTCCCCAGGGCAAGCCAAAGTAGTTGGAGACATGGGTGAGGACTGGAGCCAGTGAAGAGCAGTCCTCACAGTGACTTTCCCAGAGATGATAGGGACGAGGCACACGCAGCTGGAGTTCTGTGAAGAAGGACAGAAGGGCAGGCAGACCCAACAGGCCACACACTGGTGAACTACAGACAGGTGGATGGCTGGTTGTCAGTCAGCTGTCTCGTTGGGGTGGGCCAGGAGGTCTGGGGCTCTGGGAGAGTGTGGAGAAGAGGAGGCGGCCCCCAGGCCCTTCTCCCTGTGCTGACAGCAGTGCCGCGGAGCAGCTGCTGTCCTTCCCCTGGTTCTGGTGTCCTCCCCAGGTGGGGACTCGCCCCGCCTATGCTGTGCTTGCAATATGTACCAATAAACCACATGGCCTGAAGGTCTTGTCTGTGTTGATGCATTCAGGCTGCTATAACAAAATACTGCAGGCCGATGACTTAGGAAAAACGGAAAATTTCTCTGATAGGTCTGGAGATGAACAAGTTCAAGATGAAGTGTCTGAAGAGGACCCACCTGTACGCATAGGTAGCCATTTTCTCCCTGTGTCCCCACAGGGTAGAAGGGCTGAACAGACTCCCTCTGCTTCTTTCATGAGGGCTCTCATCACATTTGTGAGGGCTCTACATTCATGACCTGGCACTTCGCCAAGGCCACCATCCTCACACCATCACGGTGAGGTTAGGGTTTCAACACATGAACTTGGGGCTGGGGCTCATGCTTACAATTCTAGCTACTCAGGAGACGCACATCTGGAGGATGGAGGTTCAAAGTCATCCCAGGCAGAAAGCCTATGAGACTCAATCTCCAAAATAGCCAGCAAAAAATGCCAGGCTAGAGGCATGGCTCAAGTGGTAGAGCACCAGTAAGCACGCTGATTGAGCAGGGGGGCCTGAGCTCAAACCCTGGTACCAGCAGAGAAATAAAATGTTGGGGTATTGGGTCACAGGCACTGAGGTGACAGCAGCACCTCTGGCCTGGGGAAGGGAGGAGGGGGTGAGTTGCACAGTCTATACAGGAGCTCTAGTGAGGATGCCCAGGGCAAGGCATCTGGCTCCTAGTGTGAACCCAACTCCTGCTGTGGGTGACTGGGCTCAGATCTAGAGCCACAGCTTAGGAGGGGTCTTTGGTGGTCCCTAGATGCCTGTGAGGGTCCTACACTACTGCAGGCTGTCATGCCTCAGACTCAGATGCCACTGGATTTCCCACCCAAGAGTCAGTGTCCCCTCTCCCAGCAGTGCTCCTCTGTTGTAGATCTGAGTCACCTCTGCATCTATTATTATGGGCTTATTAAAATGGTCCTCAGCTGGAGTGGAAACGCTCCAGAATAGCCAGAGGTACCTTACCAACACAGTCTGAGTCAATGCCAAGTTCACATGTGTCAGACTGTCAGACTGTGAAGCATGGCCTCTTTGGGATAGGAAGGAAAGCTGAAGGGCAGCAACCACTTCCTGAGGGCCTACTGTGCAGACACAGACTGATGCTTCCATACTGATCCACCCTGTTAGTCCGTACAGTGGCCCTTGTCGGGTAGTATTCCTATCTGGCAGATGGAAGAGCTGAGGCACAAAGAAATTAAAAGCCTGGCCCATGTTCACACCAATTCAGAAACAAGTCTTTGAATGCTCTGTGCCTTCCTCCCCAGGTATATGTCAGGCGCCACCCTGCAGCTAGACACAGGCAGGTCCTTTCTCAGAAGTGGTGACCCTCTTGGGGGGGGGGGGGGGGGAGGTCTCCTCTTCTAGCTAAGTGAGATCTAATTCCGGAATATCGCCAGGGGGTGCTGTGGAGTCACACATGCCACGGAGGCTTGTTTTAAAGTAGTGGGCAGCACTTGAGCTCATGGTTCCAAGGATGGGGAATGACTCTAGGGTCCTCCTCCTGTCTCTGGGTGGTCTGGTTTTCCAGAATGCTCCAGGGGGAATGGGTTCAGTTTTCTTCAGTGACCTTCTGGGTTTCTTGGGAAGTGGGACTGGCTCTCAAGGTCTTCTAATGGCGCTAAGAGCAGAGAACAAAGGTGTATGTTGCTTGGGGTGGGGGGAGCTGCTGTAGCTTCCTCCAGACAGCCTGCTTCTCCATCCTCTGTCCAGATGGCCACTCCTGGCATACAGCCAGTATGGACTGCACAAAGCACCAGTCAGATAAAGCAGGGTCAGGGCATCTGCTGCAGTCTGACCTGGCGTCTAATCTGACCCAGTAGAAGGAGAGCGGTCCCTGTATGAGGCACTGCACATTTACACCATGTGTGCACACACGTGTACCTTCCCTGGGCTGCTCCAGACAGTTCCTGCTCCACAGACGACTGTAGACTGTGGCTCTAGCTCTGCCTGCAATCAGGCAGGGAGGGAAACCAAGGCTGAGGTCAGAGAGTAAAGCTCCAGGTTACAGGTGTGGGGGGGGGGGGCTCTACTGTGCAGGCTCTAACACACAGACAAACCCAACACAAACACATGGCTGCACACGTGTGTTCGTCCACACATACACAACTCCCACATTCTCCTGAGCTCTGTTGTGTATCCCGACTTCCTTCCCTTTTCTTTCCTCGCAGGCTAGCATCTTTGCTTTTAATTCTGGGTAAATAAGAGCCCAAGTCTACCAAAAATCAGAAGGAGAGAAGGCGCCAGCTCTGAGGACCAAAAGCCAATTTCTTCTAGCTTTGGTATGCATCTCTTCTTCATGTTAGAAAAGAGGTGACTCGGGACCAAGAAAAGGGACAAAGAGGGGGCCATCCCCTGAAATGGAAGGGGGCCGGGATTCAGGAAGCAGAGCTGAGGTGATTGGCCATAAAATAGCGTGGCCACAGCATCTGGAGGAGATTGGAACCAGATGTCCCTGGGTGGGGGCAGGGAGGGTGTGCGGCTGGAGCAGCAGCTCTGATCAGTAGGAGGCTGGGTTGTGGGGGACCTCCCAACTTTCTGGGGAAAACATCTGGCTGCCCTCTTCCCCCCAAACTCTCCAAGTCAGGCACTACTATTTTTGCAAACTAGAGCAGCATATCTTTTCACGGATTCCAGCATCAGCCTTGTGCAGAGGAGCAGTCCAGTACAGGGTGTGACTCAGGAGGTATCCAGAAAGGCCACCAGATGGCCAGAAATATGTCCCTGCTGCCCCACAAGCTCCTCCTTGTTGTGGGCTGGGCTGAGCTCTGTCCCAAGCTCTGAATGCCTGACTGGAAACCAGTGAACAGGAAGTTTGCTTTTAGTCTAGGAATAAGTATCTGGCAGAGAAAAGGTCCCTTATGAAGAGCCTGCTGTTTGACAAGCATAGTGACAGGATCTCCTCGAAGGTCATCTTGTTCCTTCATTATCTTGACAGGTGTTATTGTCACCAGGGCTGACAGATGAAGAAACTGAGGCTCAGGTTAAGTGACTCATCCAGTGTCACACAGCCACAAAGGGTTCAAAACGAGCTGTTTACTCTCAAGCGCATCCTTCCTTCCTTCCTTCCTTCCTTCCTGGTTTGAACTCAAGGTTTAGGTGTTGTCCCTGAGCTTCTATGTTCAAGGCTACCATTTGAGCCACAGCTCCACTTCCAGCCTTTTGGTGGTTAACTGGAGGTTAAGTTTCATGGAATTTCCTTCTGGGGCTGGTTTCCAACCATGACCTTCCAATCCCAGCCTCCTGAATAGCTAGGATTACAGGTGTGAGTTACCAGCACCTGGCTTGGTCTTTCTTTTCCTTTCTTCTTTCCTCTTCTTTCTTTCTTTCCTTTCTTCCTTTCTCTCTTTTTTCCTTTTCTTTTTTCTCTTTCCTCCCTTCTCTTTCTCTCTTTCTTTCTTTCTTGAGAAGCTTGCAGGAAGGGTGAGCAAGAAAGGAAGGAATAGAGAAGCAAAAATGGAGTGAGAAGCTGGGCACCAAGGGCTCACATCTGTAATCCTAGTTACTCAGGAGAATGAAGCCAGCCTGGGCAGGAAACTCTTATCTCCAATTAAATTACAGAAAAAGCTGGAAGTGACACTGTGGCTCAATGGTAGAGTGCTAACCTTGAGCAAAAGGAGCTCAGGGACAGTGTCCTGACCCAGAGTTCAAGCCTCAGGACCAGCAAAGAAAAGAAAAGAAAAGAAAAACGACAACAAAAAGGAGTAAGAGGCAGAGCTAGGCACCCAACTTTCCTGACTTTTGAGAGTTAAGCCAACAGTTGGCCTTGGAAACTTGAGCTATTTCTCAAGGATCTTAGCTGCTTCAACAGCCTGGACCCCTACAATCTAGGCTGCTTTGGAGTCTCGACACTGGGTTTATTTGCCTCTGACTACTGTAAGAAAGGCACTGGGAATAGGTGACAGGTTTGGTGAACTGAGGCCCAGGGAAGAGGGCAACTGGCCAGCATTGCAGAACTAAGTGTGGCAAAGTCTGACTGCCAGACTCACGTGTCCACTTCGCCGAGGGATGGATATTGCTCCCA